TGGTTTAATCAGAAACAGACGTGAGATTTTGTGAAAGATTTTTCCCAAATCTATGCAGACGGTCGTCTTGTGGACACGGTGAGTCACACTTGGTCTTCGACGTCAAAGCCGCCTTGGGCCTGGTCACGTTACATTTCCTTTTCTCTATTTTCAGATGCGTTTACTACGCTCTCGTTCCTAACTTCTACAGCTAAGTCCGGGAGAGGCGCAGGCCCGCTGCAGTGCCCTGCAATGTCTGAGTCTGGTTCTGGGTCTCAGAGGGATGGTGGCCTCCCAACTCTTCCAGACTTTTCTTCCAAAGACAGAGGGGTACTCCGTTACGCGTTTCCTGGCCCTAGAACGAAGCCGGCCTGTGTATGTGTAGGGCCTGGCCCGAGTCCTCACACCTATAGGACGTACCGCTGTAATGTTGTCGCGACCTGTCCGCATGTCCCCTTTCTCACCCCTGCTTTGCGTTGGTCTCATCTCATCTCTGTTTGATCCATCTACACGGAGGTTCAAGAATCACACCGATGTTCTCAAAGAGTCAGCTTTTCGGTTTGGCTGATTGTTGTTTTTCTTCCGCTTTTTCACAGATTTTTCTCTTTTTTGGCTCTTATTTCTATTATTCCCTTTCTCTTGCTTCCTTGGGCTTTGCTATGCTCTTGTTCTAGTCTCACTGTGTTGAGAGCTTTCTGGTTTTCTACCGTGAGCTGCAAGGACGCTCCCCGTCCCAACACTGCTTCCGCTGTGCCCAAGGACCTCCCTGGGTTGCGTTCACTTTCCGTGGCCTGGAAATTCTTTCTTATTTCCTGGCAAAGTTCTCCTCTGGCCTGGCAGTTACCTAGAACGCGGTGCTCAGTGTCGAAATACCTGGGCGCTCCCACACATACTTGTCTCTTGCTTGTATCTGATTCCATGCTGTCCGAGGAAACCACTCATCTGATTCCAGTCCTTGTGAGTGTACTGGGATTTGTCCTATGGCCCCAGAGCACAGGCGGTCCTGGGAAATACTCTGTCCCCCTGCCCGCCGGGCACAGGGCTCCCTGCCCACGCAGCGGGCGGCTGTGCTGCTAAGGTCCTCTCTGCCCTCCCTGGGTTTGCGCATTTCTGCTCTCGGATCCTGAGGGTGGAGGGCGGAGGAATCACACTCTGACTGTGCGTGTGATTTTCTTCCTCTCTGTTCTGCCAGGCCCCTGCGCTGGTGTGTTCTGAAGCACAGCGGTCAGGTACGGGAACTTTTAGAGTCGTTCTGTGCCTTTCTAAGCCAATCCCTTCGCACTTAAGAGTGTCCCCCGTCCTCGCTGGCTGAATCCTCAGCTCCGGGCGCACTTTGTCTGCTGGGACTGCGCCCGCCCGTGCTTTCCCGTCGCGGTGTGGACGTGGATCTCTGTCCTGCGCGCTCAGCGGGAGCGGAGGGCGCCTGAGGACCGCACCGGAGGCTCTGCCCCTGCTTCTCTCCGGGCGTCCGGGCCACCGAGCGGGGTTTCGGGTGCAGAGTCTGTTCTCCGGCCCTTGTCTTCTCCTTGGCACCCGAGCTGCCCCGCCAGCCTTCTCTATGACTCACAGATTAATTTTTTCTGATTCCGTTTAATCCCCTTTGCTGCGTTCTCAGGCGGAGCTCTCCGATTCCGCTTTCCGTTCCTTCTCTGCGCGCGCGCTTGCTCTGGTGTTTGTCCGTCTTCAGCCGACGCCTTCGGGCTCCGGAGCGCACACAGCGCTGCGCTTCCCTCCCGTCCGCACCGCGTGGCCGCGACCGTCGCGCGACTCCTAAACCTGCCGAGCAGCTCCTCACGGAGCGGAACCGCCTCTGCTCCAAGCGGCCACTTACCTCCGAATTCCAAAGTAAGAAAAAAAGGGCGGGCGGGCGTCCCACGCCCCCTCCACGCCCCCTCCACGCCCTCCACACCCCCTTCCACGCCCCTCCCGCCTCTCCACGCCCCCTCCACGCCCCCTCCACGCCCTCCACGCTGCCCTTGGGGAGGGCTTCGCTGGCACTGCCCGCTGCACTTGCAGACTCCACCGCTGGGTTCTGGGGTTCCTGACATTCCCTCTGTCTCTGCCACTAGCTCACCGGGCAGCTGTGCCCCCGCGCTCTCCGGAGCTGTCCCGAGGTTTCCTCGCTGTCGCTGCTTCTCCACACCTGCCTCCAGACGTGCTCGGCCTGGTTTTCTTCATATTTCTTGTACTTTGTGTTCATTGAATTTCTGGGTTCCATGGATTTATAGTTCTCAACAAATTCGGGAAAATGTGGCCATTATTTCTTGGAAACATTTTTTCTCTTCCTCGCCTCTCCTTCTGGGACTCCGGTGACGCACACGGGGCCACTGGAAGCTGCGGCCAGGCTGTCCCTGCTCATTCTGTTTCCTGGCAGCCTCTGCCTGGTGCTTTACCCTCAAGCCTCTGATCTTTGACCCGCAGACTCCAGTGGGCCGTTAATTACCCCCCAGCACGTTTTTCATCACAGACCCATTTTTCATCTTTAGAAATTCAGTTTGTACTTTTTTATTTCCCACAGCTCCCCGACACAGTCATGCTCCCCTCTGTCTGCTTGAGTATGGGAAATATGGTGTCTGGTTTTTGGTTTTGTTTTTTTTTTTTTTTAAGATTTTATTTATTTGACAGAGAGAGACACAGGGAAGGAACACAAGTAGTGGGAGAAGGAGAGGGAGAAGCAGGCTCCCCGCTGAGCAGGGAGCCCTCCATGGGGCTTCATCCTGGGACCCCAGGGATCATGACCTGAGCCAAAGGCAGATGCTCAACAACTATGGTGTCTGTTTTAATGTGCACGCTCAGTAACACTACTGGCTGTGTCATTTGTGGGTCTGTTTCTAATGATTTTTTTCTCCCCACCATGGGTCTCATCTTTCCTGCTTCTTCCCATGCCTGATGGTGTTTTCACCACCATTAAATGCCAGGCACTTAATTTGATGTTACATTGTGGAACGCTGGCTTATTTTCTCTTTTGAGCTTTGTCTTAGGATGCAATGAAGTTACTTGGAGACGACTGGACCCTTTCAAGGCTTCGTTAGGTGGGACCAGATGTGATCTGTGATCCAGGCGAGTAGTGCCCACGATTAAGACGATTTCCTTCTGAGCACTCCGCCTGGTGACCCCATATTTTAAGATTTCTGGTCCCAGCTCACACAGGTGAACCCCCAGCCCCGTGTGACTCTGGGGACTGTTTTGCTGCCCCTTGTCAACAGCCCCCTCTGCTCACCTCCTCTCTCTTGAGCAGCCCTCCTCAACCTGAGCTCTGCCCTGTGAATCCCAGCTGCCCTGGCACTTGTCTCCTCCCTCAGGGAGAGCACGCAGGCTCTGCTCGGTCCCCCCGAGGTAAAGCCTGCTGTCCCTTCTGCGAAGTCCTTCCTCCAGAGTCCCAGACTCTGCTGGCCTGTCATGCAATGTCCAAAAAACACTGCTTCATTTATTCTCCCTTTTTTGGTTGCTTAAGGCAAGGCAGTAAACCCAGTTCTCATTAATGCACATAGCCTGATGCTGAAGCCGGTGGTGTGCTCTGGTTTTGACCCATGTGTTTATTCTCTGCCCTGTTAGAGTGTGAACTTCATGAGGATGAGATATTTGGGGTACATGGGACGGACATCTCAGTGGCCACTGGCAAACAGGGTGACCAACCATTCCAGTCTGCCCACAGAGATTGCCTCCATGGGTCTGGAGGCTCAGTGCCTAGGGGCCCCCAAACAATTCACCTCCTTTCAAGACAAAACAAAAACAAAAAACAAAACAAAACAAAAAAAAAAAAAAAAAACCCTTATATGTAGTCAAATGGAATGTTGTGTTTTTGCATCAGAAAAAAAAATGAAAAATTTAGGGCCCATGAAAATCTTAAATTTCACTTAAAACAGAACAAAAGCTAAATGTTGAAGTGAAGTTATATAAGTAAAAACCAGTTATTTAATATTGATACTATGGTTGGAGGGGGGCCCTGAAGTAATGGGATTCAAGTTCAAGGCTTGCCGTTCCGCTTTGCTAGACTGGACCAGGGACCGTTGCGGGGACTGAAGCCCGGAAATGCTCGGTAAAATGCAGAAGTCACTCAGCAGCTAAGGCAGGGCCAGGTGGGGACCCAGGCAGGCTGAACAGGGAGCCGGGTCCAGGGGTCACTGAGCCCTGGAACAGATCCATGCAGCACCTCTGCTGAACCGGGCTCGAGGACTAGGTCCTGGGTGGTGGCATGGAGGAGGGGTCAAAGTGCACCTGGCAGCAGCAGGGGTAGACTGGGAGAGCCCGAAGCTTCAGCCGGGTCGCTGCGGCCAGACCCCGTGGGGGTAGCTCCTGAACGGTGCACGTGCATCTGAGGATCGCGTGGGTATCCCTGTCCTGCCGCACTCCGCGGTGCGGGAGTTGCGCTACGCTGGGGCTGAGGTTTGAATCCCCGTGGGCGGCGGGCGGGCTGAAGCGAGATGGGAGGGGCGTTGGGGTGGAGCCTGGGCCGACCTGGGGCGGGGGCGGAGACAGCGGAGCCGGGGCGGGGCTGAGACTGGGCGGAGCTGAGGCGTGACCGACAAGTAACGGAGCCGGGGGCGGAGCTGGGGGCGAGGCGGAGACTGGGCGGAGCTGGGGGCGTGGTGAAGATAAACGCGAGTCGGGGGCGGATCTGGGGCGAGGATTGGGCCGAGCTGGGAAGGGGGTGGAGCCGGAGCAGGACCAAGACTGGGCAGGGGGGCGGGGCCGAAGCTAAATAGGGCCAGGGACGGAGCTGGGGAGGGGGCGGGGCTGGGGCGGGGCTGAGGCGGACTGGAGCCCGAGGGCGGAGCCTGGGAAGACTTGGGGAGGGGCGGGGCCGGGGCGGGGCTGAGATTGACCGGAGCCGGGGCGGGGGGGCGTGGGGGGGGCGGAGACTGGGAAGAGCTGGGAAAGGGTGGGCCCGGGGCGGGCCGGGGCCGGGGCGGGCCCAAAGCCGGCCGGGGGCGGGCCGGGGCGGACAGGGGCGGGGCCTCCGGCGGAGAGCTCACGCGCTGCGGTTGGCTTCCAGCCGCACAGGCAGCGGAGGGGCACTGCCTGGTGGTCGCCGCGGGGCGCTCGGACCATCCTGCTGTCAGACCCGGGCCTCTGCGAGCGGCCGCGGGGGAGTCCCGGGCGCAGCGGAGGTACGGTGTACTGAAGGTCACGGTTGAGGTCACCCGAAACCTTCCCCCTCTGCTGGGGACCTCAGTCTTCGGGGCGGAGCTCTCCGGGAGGGGCGGAAAGCGCTGGAGCCGCGGCTCGGCCTCGCTCAGGCCTCGGGCGTCCTGAAGCGGCTCTTGGGAAACGGGGCCTGAAGAAGTGCGGGTTTGATGTGCTGGGGAGGGCGGAGTCTAAGCTAGTCTGCTGGGGTGGGGACGCTGCGCACCCCCACCAGTCCCGAATGTCCCCGCAGGGCGGAGGGGAGTCCTAGTCCAAATTCCGCACCCCACCCCCGCCCCACCTCTCACCGGAGACTGGATCTCTCCATCCCAAACACCGTAGGGGAACTGGGAGGTTAGTTCTCCTGCTGTTTGCCCAGTGCCCCTCCGCCTGGTCCGAGCTCAGCACTGCGCGGAGCTGCGGCTGTGGCCAAGGACGCAGACCTGGAAGGCCCAAGTAGGGCGGGGCTCTGGAGGTCTTCCTGGGAGCGCAGCCCCCCGCCTGGGCCCTGAAAGGAGCAGAAGTGGAGACCCACTCAGGGATATCCCAGTGACGTGATTTTGGAATATAGATGAGGTTTGGTGGAGTGGGGTCTGGAACCGATGGCCAAAAGAGAATTCTTGAGAGGTCTTTGGTGCAAATTGGTGGTTTTATTAAAGCCCAGGGATGGGACCTGTGGGCAGAAAGAGCTGCACTGGGGTCCTGAGGAGGAAATGACTATGTACCATGGGGTTGGGGGAGGTATGGAGAAAGGGAGTTTTTCAAAAGACCTTTTACATGCTCAAGAGGACCTTCAGGGACCTGGAGGCCTCGCCATTGTCCAGGTTATTTCCCCGTAGCAAAGCAGTAACATTAAGACAGTTGGGAGCTTCCGGGAAGAACATCACATGTCCCTCCAGGAGTGGGCGGCAGTGGGGGGAGGGGGGCTGCAGGTGTCGCCTTCTGCTCCCTCATCACTAGGAGCAAAGGGGAGGGGAAGTGATGAGGAGAGACCCAGCCCTGGGGCCCAGTCCTGCACTCAGGGCCCTAGGTGACGGGGGCGGGGAGGGGGGCAGCGTGTCAGGCTCCCACGGGGCCCTGCATGGACCGCCCCTCCGAGTCTGCGCCACAGGCCTCCTGTCTTGCAGATGCCTGCCTCACCCCTTGGAATGTCCCCCACCCTGCTCCCTTCTCATCTCTTTTCATGTTCCTTTCTTCAGGAAGCCTGACACTCTGGGTAGGGTGGCCCTTCGGCACAGGTCCCCTGGGGCCTCTCAGTCCTCCTGGTGACCACCCATCTTTGTCTCCCTCTGTGCAGCGCTGCAGTGCCTTGAGGCAACCAGGAGCCCCGGACGGCAGGGGTCGTCTGAGCCCTCTGTGCCCTGCCCAGCCCACCACGCCCTCTCTCCTCTCACCTCCAGCCATGACAGCCCTCCTCACCCTGTTCCTGGCAGCCCTGGTGGGCCTCCCTCTAGGTAAGACAGTTGGAGAACAGAGCGATGGACAGACCCCTGTTCGGGGGGTGGGGGGAGAACAGGTGGGCCAGAAATGGGGAGGGAGGCCGGAAGGCCTAACCACCTCCGTCCAGCTGTTCTGCCCTGAGGAAGGTAACAGGGCCTGGGGTCTGACTGGCTGGAGGAGGGGCCTCTCCAATCCAGCTCCCACCCCACGCCCCGGCCCCCAGCCCAGGCTCTGGACTGCCACGTGTGCGCCTACAATGGAGAGAACTGCTTCAACCCCATGCGTTGCCCAGCCATGGTCACCTACTGCATGACCACGCGCACTTGTGAGTCCGCGGGTGTCCCCTGCTGCCCTTCCTGGGGAGGGGGTGTGAGGGCTGTCCTCCCCTGCCCCAGGCAGTGTGGGACCCAGAGGAGGGAGGCTCCCTGCTGCCCTCGGATTCTGGGAGCACCTGGCTGGGGGAGACCCGGCCAGGATGGACCAACCCCGGGCCCTCGCCTGCCTCCCCTCTGCAGACTACAGCCCGACCAGGATGAAGGTCAGCAAGTCCTGCGTGCCCAGCTGCTTTGAGACAGTGTATGACGGCTACTCCAAACACGCCTCCACCACTGCCTGCTGCCAGTACGACCTCTGTAACAGCGCCGGCCTCGCCGTGCCTGGGGCCCTGGCCCTGGCGCCCGTTCTCCTGGCTACCCTCTGGGGTCTGCTCTAAACCCCGCCCCCCAGGACCCACTCCAGGACAAAGTCCTGAGAGGCTCAGCCTTTCCCTTTCACCCCGCACACCCCACCCACCTGCTGCACCCCACCCCTACCCAGCTACACCCAGCACTGCCTGCTAGAGGGACTCCCTCGCCTGCCTGCCACCCTGGGACTCACTGGGCCTCGCTCCCAGACCACGACCTTCTGTTCTTGAAAGGTCGATGTGGGCCCAGCCCTCCCAGAGGAGCCTGGCAAAGTGTGCTGCTTAGCTGGGGTCCTCTGCTGGCTGAGGAACACTGATCTGAAGGGAGACTTGGCCCACCTTCCTGGCAGCTCTGGGAGCAAGGCCCCACCCCAGTCCACCCAGGAAGTGTGGGGAGCCGTGAGGGGAAAGTGGGGACCCAGGATGGGTGAGGGACCATCCTGGGAAAAAGGGCTTTCTGGGGCACCAGGAGGGCTATCTCTGTGCCTCTGACTGAGTCCGGGAGCTGCCCCGGGGAGCTGTGGCATAGAGGCCCGAGGGAGGCAGGCCTTTGTCCCCATCTGCTGTCCCAGGTAGGAGTGCCAGGAACATCCTGGCAGCCCTTGGCTGGGGGTTGGGGGTGGACTCAACCTAAAGAGAACCCTGAGCGCCTCCCCCGCCCCCAGAAACCTGGTAAGGGAGTCTTCCCCTTTTGACTTTTCCCCTTCCCCACCCTGGCCTGAGGCTGGCAGGCACTTGGGGGAGGGGCAGGCGGGCGGCTATATTTGGTGAAGCCCAGAGCTGACCCCAGGACTATTTTCAGCATGGGGGAAAGCAAGCTGGGGGGGGGGGGGTGCCAAACAGCCTGGTCTTCAGCCCTAGTGTGCCCCTTAACGGAGGGGGGCGAGCCGCAGTGGGCGTCTGGGTCAGCCGGGGCGGAGATCCTGGGAGTCCGTCCAGGACAGAGGCTGGGAGAGGCAGGGTCCGGGATGCCAATGACCCAGCTCCCTTCGGACATGTGCCCCGAGATTTCCTGTGCACCCCGATCCCAACAACCTGTTGACACCCACTTCCAGCGCGCCCCCCTCTGCTCTGGCCTGCAGGCCTGGCTGTACAAGGGCCGGCTGACCTGGCCTTGGTCCCAAAGCCTGAGGGTCTCACAAGGACCCTCCAGCCTCTGACTGGGAGAGAGGGGTCCACCCAAGGCTGAAGAGCTCTCTCCTTGATTTGAAGAGTGGCGTGTTGGTGCCCCCAAGCCGGCGGGGCATTGGGACCCCCAAGAGCCCAAGAATTGGCATTATTTAAAGGGTGCCCAGCCTAGGTGAACCCCATCTCTGTCCTGGTTTGGGAAACAAGAGTCCGCCCAGCATGGACCATCCTGGGTAAGGGTGGCCTGGGAAACGCGTCTTCCTGCCAGTGGGGCCAGACTGCGCACATGTCCTCATGCCCCAGGGCAGACAGGGCTTGAGGCCTTACCTGACCAGTGTCCCCAGCTCCGTTGTCCGTAGAGGAGCCTAGGAGCCCCTTCAAGCTGTCTGGGCCTAAGTTGGCAGGACAGTGGCAAATGCTTATATGGTGGGATTGTCCCTGGAACTCAGGAGCCCATGGCCCGAGAGCATGGCTCTCATGGTGGGGGTGGGGGGAGCTGGACAGTCTGGCTCTCATGGGGGGCGGGGGGGGAGGCTGGACAGTCTGCCCGGAGAGTTTCACCCAGGTCCTTCTGGAACTCGAGGGACTGGGAGAGCCTCGGGCGGGGTCCTCAGGCTTGCCTGGCTGCTTGGACCTCCCAGAACGTCTGGGAAGATAGGCCTCATCCTGGGCCGGAAGGCGCTGCACTCAGGGAGCGCCTGGTCAAGAGCTCAGTCTCCACGGAGACCTGGGTGTCTCTGTCCTCCACAGCCCAATCCCGTGTGAGCGCTCCCTGGCGGAGGCTGGGAGCAAGCCAGACCCCAGCCGCGAGCTCCCAAAGGTCCAGCAGGACCCCCCAGGAGTGATCAGCCTCAGGGAAGTGACCCAGCTCGCTCACAGAGCTGGCTGGAAGGCCGGCACAGGCCTCTGGCTGCGGAAGCCTGCTAGGAGGAAGGGTGGACGTGGGCCTGTAGCCCCAGCCGCCCTCGGCCTCCTGACTCAGTGGGAGAGGCTTGGAAGCAGTTGTTAGCTTGTGTAAGACTCGTCCCGGGTCAGCGGCATCCTAGGCCACAGCTGGGAGGAGCACAGGGTCAGTCCCCCCTCCCCTCAGTGGGTGATGACCTTAGAGACCTGCCTGGCCACCTTGGGGTTCTGGGGTCCCCGAGAGCAGGGAGCCGGGCTTGCCGCAGTATGGGGGTGCTTATACCTGCCTTCTGTCCCCATCTGCCCATCCTCCGCTGTGACCCAATCCAAGCCCAAGACCCAGAACATTGCACCCGGCCCGCAGGACCAAGCCCCCCCCCACACACTCCCACAGCCCCCTGGCTGGGTGGGCTGTCCCCAGAACCCAGCACGGAGCCCTTGGCAGGCCCTCAGCTGATATGGGACCCGGACCCTAGTGGGAAGCCCGTGACACTGAACTCGAAGGGCAGTGCCGGTGGGGACCACACTGACAAGGACGGGAGCTGACCTCCGTCTGGCTTCCCTGTGCCCCGGCCACCTGCACTCCACGACCACCCTGCGAGGAGCAAGCCATTCCCACGCCCCCTTCACAGGTGAGGTACAAATCTGGACGGGGTGCCCAGCCGCCACACCCCTGCCCCGCTGAGCAGTATTCTCCCACCGGCTAGGAGGCTGCACCCCCGAGCCTGGGGTGGGGACACCAAGGAGGGGTTTTATAAACTGAAAACAAACTGCGCCCGGGAAATGCAAGAGCTTAGGGTCAGGAGAACTCTAGAAGGAGAAGAGTGGAACCAGAGACTTGAGGAGCCTTGGGGCCCCAGGCAGGTGTCCAGCCCTGTGTCTGTCCCAGTCTGGCTCGAGTTGCCAGGATGCCCGCAGGCAGTGGGCGTGTCCTCTGTGGGGAGGGGTCCCTCCAACAGAAGTGCGTACCCCCTGGATGGGAATAGAGGTGCTCCTCGAAGCTCCCTGTGGCGTCTCAAGTCTGGAAGCAGCCCAGAGGTCTCAGTGCCGCCTGCCATGGGTCCCCTCGGAGCACAGCTGAGCAGCCGGAACTTCGGGCGCTGACCTTGGGGGCACCCTCCAAAGCGCCCGCCCCACTGCTGGGAGGGGAGGGGGAGGGCGCATCCACCACCCCATCTCCCTTTGCAGCAGCTGATTTGTTAAATACCCATCTTACCGCTGAAAAGGGTGCAAAGAAATGGGGACGCCTCCTTCTTTCTTCTACCCCCCTCCCGTGAGTTTTGTTGAGTCCTACAACTCGGGGTGCCTGGAGGTCCTCACCCACGTCTCTGAGCCTCAGCTGTCTCATTGGTAAAATGGGACTGGTGGGTCCCCCCAAGCCGAGCCTCGGGAGCATGGCCGAGGCTGTGGGTGAACGTGCCCGGCCCCAGGCCTAGCACACAGGAGGCTTCAGACAGACGGATGGACGGGTGGCCCCTCTTCCCTTCGTGCCACGTGCGAGGGCTGGGCCCTTCCAGGGCTATGCCGCACCCTGGCAGCTAATGCTAAGCCCCGTAGCCCTGACCCTGACCTTGATCGGCATGAGAACCCGCCTTCGGGCCAGGGCTCCCTCCTTTGCTCACACAATGCACTTCAGGGAGGCCCCGTCAGTGTCTCGAGTGTGAATAAATGGGTAAATACATACGTCCACCCATCTCTCTGTTCTCAGCGGCCGCCGCGGCCGGCGCCAGCTCCCCTCCCTGGCCTCGTACGGCTGGTCATGCCGGCTCTGTGGGTCCCAGACTCCAATTCGCCCTGGTTCATCCTGTCGCCCTTGGAGCCAGGGCTGGCATGGGACAAGGGGACGACCCATGGGAGGGGAGCGGGCACGAGAAGCCAAGGACCCGGGGCTCCAGGGAAAAGTGACAGGCCCACCAATTCACCCGGCCTCCCTCTGAGAGGAGTCCCTAGAGGGGGCTGGGGGGACCCCAGGAACCCACCTACCACCCCTGCTTTCAAGCTCTTCCCCTGGGAGCAGGGTCTGAATCCACCCAGCTCCCAGCCGGAAGGAGCCCACCAGATAGAGTGGTGGACAGAAGCCACTCAGCGGCCAGAACAGACACAAGGATCGGTGGGTGGACAAGCTTCTGCGCTGCCCCCCACGGCTTTTGGCAGAAAGGTGGGGCTGGCAGGCGGCTCCGCACATCTGGCTTCTGCTCTCACATGCCCCCTTTTGGGCTCTCACCCATCATGGGACCCTTTGAAATCTCTCTCTGCTCCCTGCACCTCCCCGGCCCCCAACCACAGGGCACACGGGCACACTGCCCAGGTCTTGGGTCCTGCTGTGTGAGCTCCGCGACAGCCACCAGCCCTCATCACTCCTAGCAAGGCCGCAGCTCTCCACCGCCAGGCCCGTGGAGGACACACCTGTTCCCGCTCTGAGGCGGGGAGCTGGTCATCGGACACCTTGGGGGGCACTTCTGGCTACCCCTAAGCTTCGCAGGCGTGTTGAGTGGGAAGGGCGAGCTCAGGTCTGTGCTGGACCCTCGTTCCAGTTCCTCACAGGAAAACCAGACACTGTGAGCTGAGGGTCCACCCTGTGCCAGGGGGTCTTACCTGGTCCCCACCCTGCCATCTGATGGACAAAGAGGTCTGTGTGATAAATGGGGCTGGGCCTGGGGCCTGGGGGCTGGGCAGGTCCTAGCCTGGCTCCTCCACTGAGTCAGTGGCCATGTGAGTCAGAGCTGGCGGGAGCAGCAGGTATAAGAGGGCAGCCTGGTACCTGCGAGCCAGCCTCGACCCAGGAAACCATGCGGCTGCTCCCTGGGCTCTTGCTGGCCGCTGCCTTGAGCCTGGAGCTGGGTGAGTCCAAGGGCCACCTCTGTCCCCACTGCTCTAAGCCAGTCCCCCAACCCCAGCCACTACCGAGCCCTGGGCTGGGGCTCATCACCTCAGGGAAGTCCAATTCCTGCCCCCCCACCCCCTTTTCTGGGCTCTAGACCTTCCCCACCTGCCACCTCCTACCTTCCGCTTGTGGACAGCACTCAGGAGCTCTCCCGCACCCCCTCCTGGACCCGCAGGCCCATCCACGGAGCCCACAATGCTGTCCTTGTCCCTGCAAGGGCCGTCAACCTCCCAGCACCCTGCCCGGAGCTTGACAGCCCGCTCCCCCACAGGCTTCTCCACTCAACAGTGACCCCCACACTGAGTGCGAGGGCCTCTTCCAGTTCTCCCTGGTCTGCCCCTGTTTCCTAGGACCACCCTATTCTGGACCCTAATGGTTCTCTTCTTACTGGGACACGGGTCTCTCCTCCTTTTGCTCAGGCTTCCTTCTGGCGCCAGTCCCCCACTCTGGCCATTTATTTCCGTGTTTGGCTGCGCCCACGTCTGCCCTTGCTGGCCCTGTCTGGTCCAGCTCCAGGCCCGGCGGACCAAATGCCTGTCTAAGGGCTTCTCGGGGAACTCTGCCTCAAATGGGGCTGCCCAACCTGGCCTCATCTTCCTAGTGCACCCGAAGGGGGACGGCGTCTCCGCCCACCCACCCACAGCCCCGAAAGAAACCAGCCGGCCCCACACCCCCAGCTCTCACCTGACAAGGCCTCTGCCTCCACTCCTGGGAAGGCATCTTCCTCCCGGCCCGTGGCCCTAAACGAGATGGACACGGAGAGTGTCTGTACTGCCCCTGGCATGTGCCTCAGCTCCACCCAGGGCCGTCTGGGATCCTCTGCTGTCCCCCTGCAGGAACCTCCCGCCCCAGGCCCAGGCACTTGCAGGCTCTCTGTTCAGTGGGGAGGGTCTCACCAGCGAACCCTAAGAACTGCCCCAGGGTCGTCAGTGTGGATGGACAGGGGTGGGGAAAGCCTTTGTCACCTCCAGCGCTAAGTCACAGGCCCCTCCTCCCTCCTCTGGCTCCCCTGGGGTCCAGCGGATCAGGGGAGCAGCACATGCCACAGCATTGCTGGTGTCCTCTCCCTGCTCCCGCCCAGTCCCCACACCTGCCCTGTCAGAGGGAACACACGGGGTGCAGAGTGGGAGGGGTCCCATCTGCTGCACAGTGAGCCAGGACAGGGCACGAGCCTGGCCAGCTGCTCCCACAGCCCTGCTGCCAGACGGCTCTTCTTTCCCCTTCCCCCTCCTCCCTCACTCCCTCCCTTCCTCCCTTCCTTCCTCTTTCCTTCCTCCCTCCCCCCCCTTCCTCCCCTCCCTTCCTTCTTCCCTCCCTCCCTCCTTTCTCCCTCCCTCCTTCCCCCCTTCCTCCCTTTCTTCCACAAAGCTCTCCTGGCCTCCACTAGGTACAGTGGGGGATGCTCTGGGGCCGCAGAAGAGTGGGTGAAACACCCCACCCATGTCCTTCAGGTCAGAGGGGGTGGGGTGGGGAGGGAGCCCTGAGCAAGGTCACATGGGGGCAGGGATGCCGCCACCAGGCTGGGGCAGAGGTCCCAGCCGCTCCTGGGGGGCATGTCAAAGGAGCCATCAACTCTGCCTGGAAATCCAGAAGGCCTTCTTAGAGGAGGTGGCGTTTGAGCTGGGGCCTGTCTTGCCTGGAAGTCAGAGGGAAGAGCATGGGTGAAGCAGGGAGGCGTCTGGGTGAATGAGAGAGGAGAGCAGAGGAGAGCAGGAGGCGGGAACTGCATTTCTCAAGGGGCTCCCTTGGGGCAGAGACACCCCAGTTCCCAGGTGACAGTCCCCTGTCTGCCCATTAGGTGGCGCGCACAGCTTACCACGCGTCCTTGGGCGTGATGTGCCGGTGGCTTCAAGCAGCAGTGATGAGCTTTGTGACAGGAGCTGTCACCTTTCCTGGTCTCGGGCAGTCTCAGATTGCTCTGCAGGGCTGGCCGATGAGTCGGGGCCAACTGGGCACACTCCCATGGTGGGGACTTCGTGTCTCCATCACTGCTCTGGGGCTCTGGGAGGAGGCTGCCCACAACCCCGGGGCTGAGCAGAGGGCTCAGGGCTGGCCAGGAGGTGTGTGCGCCTTGCCCAGGTGTGCATGTGTGTGCCCGTGCACACTGGGGTTTGGTGAAAGTGTGCAGCGCCTCACGGTGCCCACTGGCCTGGGTCGGAGACTGAGCTGATGTGGGGCCGATCCAGGGCGATGGTGGTGGCGGGGCTGGGGCAGCAGCAGAGGCCTGAAGGCCGGACGGGGGCGGGGGGGGGGGGGAGGAGCCCGCCCCGACCTGTGGTGCCCTGAGGCTCGGAGCCTGCCGGCAGTGAGCGTGCCCCGTGCGAGTGTGCTGCGTCTGCACTGGGGACTGCACTGCTGCGTCTGCACTGACAGAAGCACTGAGCACAGGAACCAGAGAAGGAGGGGCAGGCAGGGAGGGAGGAAATTCAAGGCAAGGAACATGGTGGGGAGGGGGTCCTGAAGGACAGACAGCCCACTGCTGTGCCCCCATTCGAGGACAGTGCTGATGGGCAGATCTGCCAGACATTTACGGAACGAACTTAGTATTTCAAAAGCCTCCAGGTTGTCCTCAGAGAAGAAACATTGAACAAAACTGCGCCGGCCGCCCTCCCGTCCCTTTCGTCGCCCGGCACTCCTGTCCCCATGGCTTCCCACTCCCCACGGAGGCCGGTGAGGCCCCCCACCCCACCGCAGCCACCAGAACGAAGGAGCCTGTGGGTCTCAGGGGTTCTGCTGACGTGGAAACGGGCACGGCCACATCGTGGGGAGCCCTCACCACCTTCCTCCCATCTCCAATGCCTCCCAACCCCCAGCTCGTTCTGCGTGAAGCCGCTGCTCACGCCATCCACTGGGTGGGGAGGTCTCACAGAGAGTCCGCGAAGACCCCATCCTGCCCCTCAGCCATATGCTGTCCTGGGCCGGGGGACCAGCAGAGCCACCTCCAGTTGCAGCTGACCCCGCTGTGGCCCCGGGCCTGGCCACCTGCACCCTGGGAAGAGAGGTCCTGCAGGATGGAAGGGCAGAGGGCCAGCCCTGGGCTGAGGCTTGGGATGGGGTGGGCTCCCCACCCCCTTATCTAGAAGGTCTTAAGGGACTGCGCATGCCAGGATGAGAGCCTAGGGTCCTGAGAATGAGAGGGGGGTCCTGGGTGGGAAGAGAGGGTGTTGTCAGGCCGGCATTGCCCACACCTGTGTCCCTCTCGATCTGTGTGTCCATCCACCTGTCCCTCCGCCCACGGCTGACCCGCCTGTCCCTCCTCCACTCGCGGCTGCAGCGCAAGGCTTGAACTGTCACCAGTGCAAGGGCTTTGGAGGGTGCACCCGTGCGTCCAGATGCCCATGGGGCTCCAACTACTGCGTCAGTGTCGCCACCCGTGAGTAAGGGATGTGTGGGGTGGCCCAGCTGTGCCCTCCCTGCCCAGGAGAGGAGACCCAAGCTCAGAGGGGGCAGAGCTGGTCCAGGCTCCCAACGAGGCTGGAACAGGATGGGAGGGGCACCCACTGACCTCAGTGCAGGAGAGGACTCAAGGGAGGAGGCCAGTTACACCCAGTTTGGGCGTTAACTCTTGTCGTGGTGGCAGGTGGGGCGGGGGCACAGGCAGCTCAGGGCCTCAGGGAGCTTGCACTGTTTACCTTCTGTCCACCCCAGGAGTCCCCTTCAGCGTCGCTGACCTGCCTCTGGTGACCAAATCATGCTACAGTGGCTGCCCGGACGTCTCTACCCTTGGCCTTGGCCCCCACGTGTCCATTGTCTGCTGCCAGTTCAGCCTCTGCAACACGGACTGACCGCCCCTCAACCCTCAGCTGCCCCCCCCCAGGACCCGGCCCAGGGTTAAGAGATACCTGGAGCCCCAGGCTGACGCTGCTCAGGCAGCTGAGAGGGGGCACCAGCTGGGGGGAGGTGCTCCAGCGTCCCAGCAGGCAGAGCAGGAGGTCCTAAGAACTAGAGGTGGCATTGGGCCGGCCAGAGGAAGAGGGAGGGCCCCCGGCAGAGAAAGGGAACTTTGGGGGAACTGGAAAGGGGAAGATGGAGGGAACAGAGCAGACAGGTGAGAGGGGGAGGCTGGAGGCGGCTCGGCCCCCACCCATGCACAGGTGCAGTCGCCTTTGCACACCCACCCGCACACCCACGCACGTCCCTACACACCGCCCCCACACGCTGAGAAACTTTTAATCAGGGCTCCAGCCGGCCTCCAGCTGCAGAGTGGACCAAGACCATACCCCACCGGGGCCATGGATCCTCCCCACCACATGACCCCCAGCACAGCGCCCAGCCCTTGCCTTGTCCTTACCCTGACCACGGTCTCATGAAAGAAAACGTGGAAAAGCCAGTGCGGTGGTGCAGCCACCCAGTGTGGGGGGTAGCATCCCAGCAGAGAGTGACCCCACAGAGAGGCACAAGCAGGGATTCGGGCTAGCGGGGTGAGGATGGCACGCGGGAAGGGCAGGACTGCGTAGGCGCTAATGTGGCATGCGGCAGGTGCAGGGGCGGGGGGCGACACGGCACAGGCGGTGGGTAGCTGACCACCCCGGGAAGAAAACCAAACCAAACTGGCTCTAGGTTTCACTCCCACTCACTCGAAAGGCATTCCAACCGAATCACAGATTTAAGTGTTAAAAAGAGAAAGAGAGAGAGAGATTGTTAAAGTGTTTGGCGTAGAAAATCGAGACACCCAGCAATCCCATCCGCGGGCACGTACCTGCGCCGGACGAACCCAAGTTCACATGGAAGCCTCTCGGTGACCGCTCACACCAGCCTCCCTCGTAACAGCGACAGCGTGGATAGACACCCCGGTCTGTCCAGACTGCGCCCCGCGCTGCTAAGGGCGGCGGCACGAAGCTGAGACCTGAGACGCGGAAAGAGAGAGGCCACATGCGGAGAACCGCAAACTGCGCTCCGCTCTCGTTTCTGCGAAGCGCCCAGCACAGGCCAATCCAGGGGGCGGGCAGCCAGGGCATGCCGGGAGCGCGCTGGTGCGGGGCTGGCAGCCCGCGGGGGGCGCGGGGGCGCGGGGGTGCGGGGAGGGCTCCTTCCTGAGCCTGACTGGGGAGGGTTTCAGGACCTGTGAGTACACCAGCTCTCCGTGGGTGAACTGTACGGAAGGTGACCCGTGTCCAATAAAGCTGATACAAATTTCAAAGAGAAAAAAAGAAAATGTGTTTGCAAGAAAAACAGGACCGCACATCCAGACTAAGAAAGGTTCATGACCACACAAACACAGGAAAGATTGCGCTGGGCAAAACCAGAGCGCAGGCAACAGCACTGGCACCCCCCACGGCCGCACCACCCCTGGGCGCAGTGAAGAGTGCTGCCCGGTCCCACCAGCAGATTTCCCCGAGGAGAACGTCAGCCACAGGCAGAGCCAAAAAGGAGCCTTTACATCTAGGAGCGAGCACACGGAGAAGAGGGGGTCAGGGCAGGCGGGAAGCCACCCCTCTGTGCCCCGGGGTGGGGCGCAGCGGTCCCTGGCCGGCAGGTCTGCTGCCTGCCCCCGGAACTGTTCAGTGTTGCCCCCCCCGAAACGTCACCAGACACCTGCAGCAGGGAGTGCACACCCACACGGCCTGCAAGCCCCTGCTCCAGGCTTGAGAATCTGGTGAAAGGCAGGGCTCCCAGTGTGAGGGCCTGGTGAGGCCTGGGTGAGCACCCGGCAAAGCAACTTAGGCCCCGAGGCAGGGGTGCTGAGTCTTGAGGCCTGAGACCCATCAAGAGCGGATGGGTCTTTTGCACGGTTCCTGCAAACCCCCTGGGAGGGTCAGGCCGTGGTGGGTGGGGACCAGAAGCGCTATCACGTGACAAGGAGTGCACGGTGTTGGGGGGCTGGGCAGCGAGGGTTCCCAGGTGTCCCAGCACAGATGGGAGCAGCCGCACACCTGCCAGCACACAGGTGACCATATATTAGGGCACGTCCACATCGGGGTCCTTCAGGAAGGGTGCAGCCGAAAGAGCTGCCTCGGGGATAATGTCACTCCCCGCATTTTCTTCACTGTGTAGAAACATGGAGCCATGAGGCTACTCTGCTAGACGCCCCGCACAGGGGAACGGGTGAGCAGGAGCCAGACACCGCACAGCCTTCCTGGGGGCCTGCAGACACTGCCCAGAGGAGGCCACCCACAGACGGCTGGGGAGGAAGCCTAGTCCGGAGATGGAGTAGCAGCAGAGAGCCCTGACCCTGGTCACACTCTGAACCCTGACCCTGGTCACACTCTGAACCCTGACCGTGGTCACACTCTAAACCCTGACCCTGGTCACACTCTGATCCCTGATCCTGGTCACACTCTGAGCCCTGATCTGGTCATGAGCCCTGATTCCTGGTCACACTCTGAGCCCTGATTCCTGGTCACATACTGAGCCCTGATCCTGGTCACATACTGAGCCCCGATCCTGGTCATACTCTGAGTCCTGACCCTGGTCACATTCTCACCCTAACCCTAGTCACATCCTGAACCCCGATCCTGGTTACACTCTAAGTCCTGACCCTGGTCACACACTATACCTCAACCCCGGTCACACTGCAAGTCCTGATCTTTGTCACACTCTGAGCCCTGACCCTGATCACATGCTGAGCCCTGACCCTGGTCACACACTGAACCCTGACCCTGGTCACTCTCTGAGCCCTTACTCTGGTCATACTCTGAGTCCTAACCCTGATCGCCCTCAAGACCCCCACCCTGGTCACACTCTGAGCCATGATCCTACTCATACTCTGACCCTTGACCTAGTCACACTCTGAGCTCTGACTCTGGTCACATGATGGGCCCTGATTTTGTCACACTCTGTGTCTGGACCCTGGTCACACTCTTGAGCCCTGCCCTCGAGGCTCCTAGTAGGACTGGGGGATGGCTGGAGACCTCTCAGCATGGAGGCATCCTAGACAGAGCCCACCCAAACTCTGACTGAGCCACATCCCTCCCGGACTGAGTAGACAGGCGCAAATTTGCAGTTAAGTTTCAGCCTGGCTGCCCAGGGATCAGGCAGAAACTGTAGGAGGGGTGAGCGCCCAGGGGCAAGGGGTGTGCTCTGGATGGAAAGTACAGGTGGGGCTCCTGGGTCTGAGCACAAGGAGCTGGGCTTGGTCCCAGCTGCAGCAAAGGAATTGGGCTGGACTGAAGGAGGAAGCTAGGGTGTGTGCGGTGGGTGTCTAATCCGGTTAATGGCACCCGTGTCAGCACACAGCGGCCGCGGCGACTTGCTCAAGTGTGAAATCAGACAAGCCCGGCTGCTGCTTGTGCTTCCCCAGCCCACGCAAGGTGACCTGCCCAAGTCCGCCGCTGCCAGGAGCGTCCGATCCGATGCCCGAAGCACAGTCGGTTGTTAGTGCTGTGTGCTAGTGTCGTGTCTCCAGAGCTGTGGTGAGGAAAGCGCGATCCAGCAGGGGAGGTGGCTCCCCTAGGCCAGGTGCTCTGGGAAGCCACGCACCCAGCCCGCAGGCCCCACCCAGTGTCTAGAGGGGCACAGGACCCGTCAGCTCCCACATGGAGCTGATCTCAAGGAAAGCCAAGGACCGCATAAACGCTGTGGGCTGGGGATGGGGGGAGTCCCCAGACAGAATGTCAACCCAGGAGGATGGGCGAGGAACGGGCATCCCTGGTGACAGGAAAAGCAGGAGCAAAGTCTTGGAGGGGAGTAAGATTTGGACCCTCTGGGAGAAGACAGAGGCGTTGGGTGGGCTGCAGCGTGGCCCCAAGTGAGTCTGGGCGCCATGGCCTTGACTTCCCAGCAAGAGGCCCTGGGACCTGCCAACCACCATCCGCACCCTGCCCCGGGCTTCACCCTGATGGCTGTGGGCTTGCTAGAGGGTGTGACCGGGTCATGGGTAGAGGACATCCTAGGGCGGCTGAAGTGCAGGCACTCTGCGGGGGATGCGTGTGTGCCTGTGTGTTGGGGGGCAGCAGCGGCTGGAGCCACACTTCGGTGCTGTCTGGGCCTTTGGCAAGGGCCTTGCTGTCGATGGCCTGACCTACAACGGTCCAGGAGAGCCTTGCCCAAGGGGCAGCCTCTGTGGTTTCTTTAGAGACCAAGGTGTACCTGCCTCTCCAGTGGGCACTGGGGCTAGTGTCCCCAAAGTGACCCTGGCCCCTCCCCAGCTCCGGCCTCCACCCAGGACCTTTCTGTTGACCCAGCTCTCTTCCTGTCTTTGTGCCCATAAGCCTGTCAACACACTTCGGCTGGTTGTCCCAGCAGCGGTCTATCCCTGTATCTCCATGCCCCGCGAGATTCCCTCAAAGGAGCTGGGGTGGGGGTGGGGGGTTGCAGGCCCCCTTGGAGCATTCAAACCCAGAATTACTAGACCCAGACTCTGCCCTGGAGGCAGGCCTGGGGACCCCAGTGGGAAGGGTGCCTGGCAGAGGCTGAAACCAGGGTGGGGGTAGGGGTGGAGGAGGAAGGAGAAGGTGGGGAGCCTGGGGAAGGGAGTCATAGAGGGAGGTGCGGGCCCCAAATCACAGAGAGGGGTCATCAGGGCCAGGAAGGGACCCCAGGCTATGAGGGGGTAGAGGAAAGGGGAAGAAGACAGGGAGGGCAGGAGGAGTCCCCACAGAGGAATGGGGCTTCCAGCGCAGGCGGGAGGGGCCCCAGTGGGTGGAGGGGGGCGGGTCTCTGCACCTCTGCCGCCTACAAGAAACCCAATCCCACTAATCTGCTTGGCTGACCCGTCGGGTGGCTGCACTGGGCGTCCACTGTCCCTGCGGGCAGGCTGAAGGCCAGCGTGCTGCAGAGCAGGGTGAGGACTAGACCATGAGGGGGACACGGCTGGTGCTACTGATGCTGGTGCTGGCGACCTGCGGCCACGAGCTCGGTGAGGGGCGCGGGGCAGGGGGGCCAGGGAGTGGAGGAAGGCGGGGAGACCCAGGAGAGGCCGGGTGGGGAGCAAGGGTGAGCCGCAGGGAAGGGCGCAGGTGTCTGAGGGGGAGGAGGGCATAGCCCCAAGGGCCGCCCCCCAGGGCGGGGGTGGCTGCAGAGGCTCTGGGAGCCAGCTGGGGAGCTGCATGTCACTGGGGGCCATGGGCACCCCGGAAAGGCTGTAGCTGGAGAGGTCGTGGGCAGAACCATGTTCCCCAATTCTGGGTCCATCTGGAGGCAGGGCTCAGGGGCGTCTTGGGGAGACCAGGAAGGCTCTGGGAACTGGGGCTGACACAGGGGTCTGAGAGAACACCCGGAGGAGATGCCCCAGCCCCTTGGGGCCCCCACACTCTGCCAGAAAAGGAGCTGGGCAGTGGGGGCCCCAGCCAGAGGGGAAACAGATCAACCAGAGGCACAGTGACACGCAGTGGGGGTAGAGCCTGTGGCCTTGGCTGTGCCGGACCAGCTGGCCCCGGTCAGGCCAGCCAGGCTCCTGCGGTGGGTGGGACGCAAAGCAGCACACCCTGGGGCCCCGCCCCTGCCGGCCCGCACCCCGACCTGCCCCGGGTCCCCGAGCTGTGGCTCTTCCCTCCTTTGTTAATCTGGCACCTGTGGGTGCCCCAGGCCCAGCCCGGCCCACCCTGCACTCCACACACCTCCTTGTCTGTTCCCAGTGCCCACTGTCGCTCGTTGGGTGCTGTGCTTTGCTGGTCAGGATTCCAAGGGGGTGTCCGGCCACACTGAGGCCCTCCCTGACCCTGCAGGGACGCCTGGCTCCCTGCAGGCCCCTCCTCGATGCTTCCAGAGCTGTCCCCTCCCCACCTTGGCCCTGCAGGCTGAGCCTATCAGGGGCACGCTCTGTCTCTAAGGACCACAGATCAAACCTCCCGAGACCTCCCAGAGTCTGGGCCGCTGGGCACCAGCAGCCTGGACGGCGCGGCCCCCTCAAACCTGGGTCTCCGGGACGGGGGCTCGGGGAGGGGCAGGGCAAGCCTGATGTGTCCTTTGTCCCTTCTTACCCAGCGGAGGCCCTGCGATGCTACACCTGTCATGAGCCTACTAGTGTGTCCAGCTGTGTTGCCGTTGCCACCTGCCATGCCAACGAGACCATGTGCAAGACCACCGTCTACAGCCTGGAGATAGGTCCGCGGGAGCTGGGGGGCGGGGCGGTAGGTCCGCGCGAGCTGGGGTGGCGGGGCCGGGGTCCCAGGGTCAGAGCGCCTCCAGGACCCTCACCCTCCACCACCTTAGCCATTTGTTTGCAAAAGGGTTTTTGGTTCCCAGCAGTTAGGCCTCCCTCCCTCCCTCCTCCTTTCTTTCCTTAAACGGAAACGAAGCCTCCCCTTGCCCGGGATTCCCCGGAAAGGTATGGCCTCCCGCAGCCAGCCAGGAGCCCACACTTGGCCCACAGAGGCGGAAGGAAAGAGGAGTGGGGAACGGGTCACGCCACCCTGGGGTCATGGGCTGCACGTGGGGGCCCTGAAGCTCGCGAGCTGACCGGACACCCAACATGGCCCACAGTATACCCCTTCGTGGGGGACTCCACGGTGACCAAGTCCTGCGCCGTCAAGTGTGTGCCCTCGGACGTGGACGGCATCGGCCAGACCCAGCCGGTGTCCTGCTGCAACACGGACCTCTGCAACATAGACGGGGCCCCTGCCCTGGCTGGTGGCTGCGGCCTGGCCTTGGCGCTGGCGCTCCTCCTGCTGGGCAGCCTCGGCCTCTAGAGCCCCCGCCACCTCTGTCCCCACCCCCACCCCGCCCCCTGTGAGCCAGTCCTGAGTGTCCCTGAAGAAGCATTGTTCCTACACCACGCTTCCTGAATCTCCTTTTTGGCAGCCCTGTCCCACCAGGGCGGGGAGGGCTTTGAGCCTCGAGTCCAGCTCCCTCCACTTGGCCCTGTGTCCCCCTCCCACCCCTTCTCAGCCCCTCCTCTCCTGGTCCCTTCCTGCCCCTCCTGGCCTCTGGGTTCTCTCTGGGGCTCTCCTCACCCACATGGCTGCCTCCGTCTGTCTCCTCTCCACATACCAAGATGTGCTAAGCAGGGATGGTCACTAGGGCAGGAAACCGGGCAGGGCTCTGCTCTCTGAGCCCTGTGGGGGGCCTGACTGGTGGGACAGAAAGCGGGACCCCACAGGCAAGGGCAGCACTGCACCTGCCAGGGTCGGATCACAGGTGGCTTCTCAGAGGAGGGGGCCATTAACGCCAGGCTTTGAATGACAGAGATCGTTTGGGTAGAGGAGGGCAGGCCAAGTCGGGTGGAAGGAAGATCCAGACGGGCTCAGAGTGGCCCGGGATCCAGGACCCGTGAAGCGCCTACTGCCCGCTCGCCTGGCCCCTGGTGACATGGTCCCCTTCTGTTGGCTGGCTGGGCTTGCTGCTGGGCATACCCACCACCTGCCTTCTCCAGGCCCACCGAGCCCCACTCCCTGGGGGCCTAGGGCGGCCCAAGCTCCAGCGCAGACGGGACCTTCACTCCGTCTTGACCTTGGCCCGCACCGAATCCTCCAGATCACCCTCCCGGGAGTCGCCTACCCCAGAGGCCTCTTGTCCGGAGGGCTCCCAGCTCTGCATCTGGGTTGAGACTCGATGCTCACACACACATGCATACACACGTGTGTGCGTATACACGTGGTCCTGGAAACACACAGTGCGGGCCATGGACTTGAGGAGGACAGGCCCCGGCTGTCTTCCTCCCCAGGACCGCCAGAGGGAGGCAAGAGGGGGAGGGGAGGAGAGGGCCTCCAGTCACCCTGGAACCTGCGCCTCCTCCCTGTCCTCCTGCTCCAGCAGCTCCTCCTGGGCCCCTGGGTGAGTTGGCCCGGTCCTGGGAGGGGGGCACAGCACTGGGGTCCAGCCTGAGTTGGGGCTGGGAAACCCTCTTTCTGGCTCATCCCCACTGGCCTCTGAGTCCAGAGAGCCCTCATCGTCAGCCCTCGCCACCACCCATTAGGCCATCTGAGGACAGAGAAACTAGAAGGAAAGGGGGTTTCCTTCTCTTGGTTGGTAGAGAGCAGCAGCCGGAACCTGAGCCAGGTCTCTCCTGGGGCAAGGGACACCCCATGCCTCCGAGAGAGGAGACCAGTGGCCAGAAGGCCCGCTATCCCTGGGACCCCCGGAACTCCACATCTCTGCCTCCTGTGACAAGACCTTCCATCTCAGGGGCTCTGTGGTCCTGAGCCAGATCCTGGGGGACAGAACACCCCGCCCCCAGCCCGGCAAGCCCTGTACCATGTGTCCAGCACAGACTGGTCGCACAGCCTGGCCACCATCTGCCAGAGACCCCTGACTCCGGGAATGGCAGAGAACCTGGGAGGCCAGGCACGGCCAAGTGCTGTCAAGATGCCTCCGTCTGGGGCTGCGGCTCTGAACTCTGACCTGACCGCGGAAAAGGCCCGTCCGGTCATTCAGCACCCCTCTCTCCTGGCGCTCCTGTGTCTCTCACAAAAGTGAGGAGAGTGGCAGGGTCACTTGAGCCCTAGAGCCTGGTTTGGGACCCAGTACACACACACACACACAGCCCTCCAGGGAAACATGGGAACACTGTGCGCCCCCCCCATCCTGGCCACTGCTCCTGCCTGGCCTTCCCTCCCCTCCGAAGCCAGAGCCAGGGCCCTTCCAGGCAGCCTCCGACAGCACACGGGTGTCTCCCCCTCCTGCCCACCCCAGCCGCCTTCTCGGCACACTCGCCCCACCACTGCTCCAGGTTCCTGTCCGCCCCTCGTCTTCCCAGCTGCCCTCGGAGGCACAGGATGTTCTGCCTGGTTCCAGGCGAAAGAAAGGGGGTCAGGAGGGTTCGTGAGCAGAAGGTTGCACAGGAGGTCAGGTGGGGCCAGGGCCCACTCAGTCTGTCAGACTCCGCACTAGACACTCCCCAGTTCCTCTTGCAACATCTGGGGCGCAGTCGCGGGACCAGACCCCGGGGAAGGGCCGCCGGCTGCTGTCCGCGCCCGCACCCGCCACGCGAGGCCCGGCTGTTGGCCTGGCAGCCACCGCGGCCTCTCCCTTTGCAAGCGGCGCCTCCCTTGGTTTCCTCAGTCCACGAGGCCCCATCACACCTGCCCTCAAAACCGCCCTGGGTCCCTAGTCTCATCCTACCCACAGGAGTACGGTCTAGAGGGGCAAGGGAGTCCCCTCAAGGCCACACGAGCAGCCAGCAGCACGGCCAGGACCGAAACCAAGACCTCCTGAGTGCCGGTCCCCGCTCCTCCAGCATGTCATCCCGCCGGGAGGCTGCGCGGTGACTCCATACCCAACAGCAGGGCCCCTCCACACACCCAGCTGCAGCACACTCATACTCTGTCCTCAGCCACCTGCCCAGCCACCTGCTCTTCCGTCCACCATCTATCGCCTCCCCCCATCTTTCCTCCCTCCTTCATGCTTGCCCCAGCCACACCCTCCACCTTCTACCCACCCACTTCCTCAAACATCGCCCGCCCGCCCACCCACTTACCCAACCAGCCACCCACCCATCTCCTCACCCGCTCACCCACTCACCCGCCCACTCATCCATCATCCATCCTCCCATCCACCACCCATTAGGCCATCTGAGGACAGAGAAACTAGAGGGTCTGGAACACCAGGAAGACCCCTGGACGAGGGGCACCTGGCCTGGACCTTCCAGCATGGGGAAGAGTTGAGGCCAGGACGGGAGGCCAGGGAGGGCACCCACCAAGAGGCAGAGAACAGACAAAGGTGTGGGTGTGGGAAAGCCTGCGGTGAGAGGTGGGCCATGAACAGTCGGAGAAGGCCGTTAGGCCAGGAGGCAGGGGTTGGGCAGAGCCCTGTTGTCTGGGAGGAAGCTCAGGCTTGGTCATTTGTAGGGAAGGGGCTGGCAGTGACTGTGGGGCCTGCCTGGAGCCCACACCCATCAGCCCAAGAGGAGCCTGAGGGGCGCATCCCACCCCACGTGACACCATCCCCACCCCACCGGGCGCCCACCCTCCTCTGCACCTGGCCCAATTCCCCGCTCCCGGGGCCTGTGCTCTGGTGGGCTTCTGTGTCAGGAGGAGGACATCTGGGTGTGAAGGAGACTGGCCTGCGTCCGGGCCAGGCCCCCGTTTGGTGCCTGGGTGGCGTCCTTGCAGGCCGGCACCAGACAGGCTCCAGCCATGGGGGTCCCCCTCCCTGAGGGCCTGGGAGTGATGCTGCCTGCCTGCCCACCACCCCGCCCACTCCCTCCCACTCCTACCCTGTGCCGCCCAGCTGACTCACATGCCCCTTCCGTCACCACCCTGGCAGGCCCCGCGGGGCGGGCAGGGTATAAGTGTCCACGGAGGCGGCCCTGGTGCTGCCTGTCCCGGCTTCCGAGCGTGGCAGATGGCCTGGTGCAGGGCTGTCCTCCCACTGCTGCTTATCACAGCATCCAGCGTGCGTGGCGGTAAGCGGGATGGCTGGGAGGGGACCGGTCACCGGCCTCACTTGGCCCACTTCCTCAGTGGGGAAGAGGCCCTTCAGGCACTGGGGCAGAAGGCCTCCATAGGCACCCCCGAGGCTCACCTCCCTGGCCTTAAATCAGCCTCCTGGGCCCTAGAGCCTTTGCTCGGGACAGGCTTCAAGTCCCCATTTTCTAGGTAGGAAAACCAAGGCTCAGTGGAGGAATGCGGCGTTCGGTGCGCTGGCCGGAGCCCTGGGCCTCGAAGGGTCTCAGTCAAGCAGGGGTGGGCCTGGGGAGTATGCCCAGGGGTAGACCGCACTTGGGCTCTGCTCCAGCCTCCCAGATGGCCCTCGAGGCCCGGTGATGAGGTCTGCCCCATCCCCCGCCCAGGTGAGGCCTTCAAATGCTTCACATGCGAGCAGCCCACAACCATTTCGTCGTGTAAGAACGTCACTCACTGCAAGCCGGAGGCCACGGCCTGCCAGACCGTGCTCGTGCAGATGGAGTCGGGTGAGCTCGGCCCACAGCGGTCACCTTCCCCAAATGGTCCTCGGGGTAGGGGGGCAGCGGTGGAGGTCCCACAGATTGGCTCTGGGGTGCACAAGGGCTGCATCAGCCTCAGGGCTCCAGGCCCCCCCAAGGCTGCACGGCACGCCCCAACAGGCGCCTGAGGGAGGAGCATGGACTCATTCCCAGGCCCGGCCTTGGGGGGGGTCACGGGTGTCCCTGGCAGTTGAAAAGAGCTGGGGCAGGTGCCTGAAATTTGGGGCAGCTGGGAAGGGCACTAGGCAGCGGAGGAGCAGGCTCTGATGCCTGTCCGCCCCCGGCAGAATACCCCTTCAACCAGAGCCCCAAGGTGACCCGTTCCTGCGCCAACTCCTGCATAGCCACCGACCCTGACAGCATGGGAATCGCCCACCCCGTCTACTGCTGCTTCTATGACTTGTGCAACTCCATGCAGAGCACCAGGCCGGGGGCCAGCCGCCGGGGGCCCCGCTCCTTGGCCGCCTCCTTCCCTGAAGGGCCCAGCGCCACCGGAAATCGCCTCTACCCACGTGCTTCCTTGAGCTCCCCGAGCCTCAGGTGAATCATGCGCCCCAAGGGCTGAGTCTTGCCAGGGGCACTCTGTCTCCCACCCTTGCAGAGGATAAATAAAAACGAGGCAGAGGCCACTTCTTTCCTTCCTGGGCGCCGACAGCGCACAGAGTCAGCTTTCAGGAGAGCCGGGCTGAGTCAGGCACATTCCGGGCCCCTGGCCTTCCTTCTCACCCAGGGCCATTTGGACTCATTTCACAGAAGGGGAAACGGAGGCTCCGGGGGAGAAAGGCATCCCGGGCTGGCCTTCCTGCAAACCAGTCCCACGGCACCTCAGAGCAGGACCGGTGCCCTAGCCCAAGGGGAGTCTGCCCCTACTCCCAGAGTCTCCCCTCAGCCCCCGGAGGCATCAAGCCCACCCCCCGTTCCCCAGGTGGGAAGGAAGCTGGAGTCAAGGGTGGGCACGCCAGGCTCTACTGGGCCAGCACAGGGAAGCTGGGAAGAGAGCTGTGGACTTGCAGGGAGCCTGCCCGCCCAGCCCGGGCGTTCCAGGAGCGTGTGGGGTGGGGTGCCTCTGGGCCAGCAGACACCCACACACCTCCACGGGCTTCGGTCACTTCCCCTGACAAGGGGCCCACGGTGTCCTTGCCGCGGGGACAGCTGCAATGAGAAGAAACAGTGTGCATGGAACCTGCCAGCTCGTCCCAGACCCCAAGGGCCAGCGCTGGGCCCTGCAGGTCCGGCAGCAGCCCTCCCAGCCAGAAGACGGGCAGCCGTGGCCCCCCAGGCTGGCCTCAGACTCCTGCCTTCCCCTCACGATGACCCCCAGCTGGCCCTGGTCATGACCAGGCTCAGCAGCCCTGGAGGGAGGTGGGGGCAGGAGCCACGCCCCGCACACAGCAGCCTCAGAGCCTGCGGCTGCCCCTCTCCAGGCCCAAATGCCCACCAGCGCCCTGGGCGGGGCCCTTTCCAGGCCCTGGATTATGGCCAGTGTTCCTGAGAGCCTCTAGCAGGCCCGGGGTTTGGAGGTGAGGGGCCAGGGCCACGGCCTCCCCATGGGGACACCGCAGCTCTTGGCTTCAGCTTCCAGGGGTCGACAAGGATCCTTCTTCAGGATGAGCAGGGTGGGCTGGTGGGAGGCTCCGGAAGCCACCCCAGAGTCCTGGGGGAAGCAGGCGGGTGGCCCCAGGGACCTGCGGGGCCTCCGCACTGCACCGGCACGGCCAACAGAGGGCGCCCCTGCCCATCACCGCCCCAGCGCCAGGCTGCTGAGCCCTCCCCCGCAGGAGCTGTGCTCTCCCCCCAACCACCACCCTGCGAACTCAGCCAAGTTGAGCTGAGGAGAGCCCCTGAGGTCTGTAGTCCTGAGAACAGCTCCCAGCCCTGCACAGCCTGGTGTGCCTCAGGAGCTGGGGAAGCCGCACACGGGGTCCTGGGAGGACGGGCCCTGGGGTGGCCGCGGTGCCGCCCGGAGCTGCTCACACCGGCAGGGGACACTTGGGGCCTTGGAGGAGGGGGCACGTGCGGTCACAGAAAATGCAGAAGGACGGGAGGTCATCCACGCGCGGGATGCTCAAACCCCACCGGGGCCAGCCCTGTGCCCTGATCAGCAAGCCCCTCCCGAACTCCGAGGCTGGACCTCCTCCACACAGCAAGGGCAAGAGCGAGCCTCTCCTCCCCCTGCCCCCACCCGCTGGGGCATGTCTCCCTTGAGAGGACAGAGAAACTGCAGTGGCCCCTGGGACACGGTGACGTTCAGCCCAGACGCCCCTGACCATCCTGAATGCCTCCTACAGACGCACAGACCCATCCTGCCCCCCACTGGGGGGGGGCAGGCTGGCTGCCCGTACCATGTGGACCCGCAGGGACCCAGACCCACTGTACACACACCCTCCCCTGTCCCCACTCGCACTGGGGAATGTGTCCCTGTCTGACAGCTGCGGCGATCCCCAAGCTCCCCACTCCCCGCACGTGCCCCACAGGACCTGCCCAAACACCTGTTTGACAAGGAGATGCAGATGTCCACGGGGATGCCCGAGGGCCCCCGTGGGCCGGAGGCTGGCTGCTCAGGGCAGGGGCGAGGCCCAGCGTGGCCAGCCCAGGGCACCCCGGCCTGCCTGGGAGGTGGGAAGAGTGAGGCATCACGCGACCTCCCTGGCCACAGACCACTGGCCTGCCAGACCACATCGCTTCCCCCATCACCAAACACCGGCTGATAATCCAACTTTCCCAATCACCCATTATTTTCCAGGCTCAGCAGGTGGTCAGAGCATGACGTGGCCCCTGCCGTCTCCCCCTCCCCCGCCACCTTCCGTCCTGGCAGCCCCACTTCTTACCCTCTTTCAGGGGCTGGCAGAATGAGCCCTATGCTGGCCCCACCCTCTACCCACCATGGTCCGCTGAACCCTGCCCCACCTGCCACCCCACAGCCTCACCTCAGTAACCCCAGGCTCCGAGGCCTGACCTCCCAGACTCCTTGGGAGGATCTGGGACCAAATCAGAAAGGAGCACCCCACAGGACCTGCCCAAACACCTGTTTGACAAGGAGACGCAGATGTCCACGGGGATGCCCGAGGGCCCTCGTGGACCGGAGGCTGGCTGCTCAGGGCAGGGGCGAGGCCCTGGGACAGCCGGGTCCAGGGGCTGGGGACGAGGAAAGCGGCGCAGCCTACAAGGGTTTGGGGACATCCTTCATGGCCTTGGTCCCGTGTTCTGTGAGATGGGAGCACGTCTTGCTCTGCCTACCTGCTTCCTAAGTTCACAGGGGCCCAAGAAGCCTAGACAAACCCCCACAGGAAGACACCGCCGTGAGCGGCCCCCTGCTTCCCTGGGGCGGGGGCAGGACTGGACAAACGAGGACTTTCCCCAGCACACGGACATCAAAACCCTTTAATCTTGGGTTTTCTTTAAATAAAACAGAAACATTGCAGCTTTCCCATTGCAGCTGTAAGGCAGAGGTCAGCATGGGGGGCAGGCAAGGGCTCGGGGCACTGCTGCAGTCTCGGCTCCAGCTGGCAGTGGGCTGCCCAGATAGGACGACAGAGACGGCCCAGGGGCTCCATGGCTCCGGCCTATGCCACAGCGGACCACACGGAGGCGGCCCCTCGTCCTGAGCACACCCAGGAGCCAGTGCCAATCCCATCCCCGGGGCCCTGACCCGAGTCCTCAGCCAGCTCTGCGCACCCCTGCCTTGCTGTCAGTGCCCTGGGCCACCGTCTGCTTCTCTCCAGGCCTTCCAGACTGGAGGGCAAGTGATTAGGCAGGAGGAGGTAGCTGTGCTGGTGTCCCAGCAGCCCCGGGACCCACCAGGGAGCCACACAGGTAAACCCCGGAAGACCCTTCCCCAGCCCCAGCCCACGGAGCGAGGCAGCCCCTCGGCGAAGGGAAGGCAAAAGTCACCAGCAGGATGCCTGTTGAGGACGACCCCAGGAGGAGGGCAGATGGGTGAGGTGCTGTAGGCCCGAAGAGGGTGGGGTCCGACCCACAGTCCCAGAGCAGCCCCGTGAGGACCCTGGGGTGTGGACGAGCAAGGGCAAGGTGCAGAGGGCACCCAGGCAGAAGCCTGCTCCCTCCTCCGGCAGGCCCCAGCTAGGACGGGAAGCTCACCACCAGCACCCCTGTGCCATCTGACCTGACGGGCTCTGGCACAGCGTCTGGCCGCAGGCCCTACCCGCACCCTGGGGGAGCCCCTCTACCCTCTGGTCAGCCGGCCTGGGCCCTGATTGTCCAGACTCCACCCTGGGCCTGCCCCTCCCCCACCCGCAGCCACAAGGCTCTGCCTCAAATGCAGTTCTGACCCTTCGCAGATCCTCACCAGGACAGATCAGGCCTCACCCCTGCAGCCCGCTCAAATTCCAGGCTCCAGTGCTCAGGGTGGCTTTGGCTGGTCCCTCTGGTCCAAGCCCTCTCCCGACTGGAGCCCACGGAAACTGGCTTCACCTGCCAGGTAGGGCCCAACCTCCATCCCCATCCCCCCACATTGAGGGCCCTGGGCCTCCCATTTCCTCATCACCTCCAACCCAAGGGCAGAGCTGGGTCAGGGTCTCTGTCCCCGGGTCCAGTGCCCAGCATGGCATAGGGGAGGAAGCGGTGATTACTGGCTGGGGGAGGGAGGGCCTGAGCGTGGGGAAGGGGCAGGGCGGATAGCCCAGCCGGCCCGGTCCACCTGCACTCTCCACCCCTGGCAGGCATGGGCGGGAGGGCAACCGCCCCCAGAGTGAGGCCGGTCAGCAGGGTGCGGCGGTCACTGGTCCTTGGTGATGTCACTGAGTCCGCTCTCGGCCCTGAGCAGCTGGCTGCTGGCCTCATTGTAGGCGACCCAGTGCCGCAGGTCTCCGGGTAGCTCAGGGGGCTCCACCTGCAGGGGAGACGGTGAGGTTCCTACCAGCTGTAGCACCGCAGGCGGCGGCAGCTGGGCTGCCAGGAGGGGCCCCCGCTGGGGTGCTGCCTTCACACCTCTGCGCCTCTGCTCATGCTGTTCCCTCTTCCAGGTGCCCCTCCCCGAGGCCCTCAATGTCTGCATTTCCCCCTGGCCAGTGCTCACGACCCTATCCTCTGTCACCAGGCCTGTCTCCCCAACGGGGCCACATCTGAGCCTTCTGTGTGTCCCCAGAACCCAGGCGAGAGCCTCTGAGGCCAGCTGGCTGGAAAGAGGAGGAGAGAGGGGCTCAGAGGGCGTCAGGAGTCTAGAGCAGGGGAGGGAGGGAAGGGGGGGGGCGAGTAGCAGAAGGGGGAGGGGCGGAGGGGCCGCTGTCAGAGCCCCTCTGCTGGGTAAGTGCCCGACAGGGGTCTGCCTGAAGCCCCTGTCCTTCCCGAGTGCATCAGGAGAAGCCGAACCTACAGCTCTGGGCCTGGCTAAGCGTCCTCACCCCTGCACACCCAGCCACCATTCTGTGCTGGGGAGGCAGGCAAGGTGCGGGCTCAGGCCTGAGAGGTCACAGGTTGCAGATGGGCTGTGGGAGTTCCCAGGGGCAAGGGGAGAAGCGGGGGCAGAAGCGCTTGGAGCTGTGCAGCCCCGGCCTCCCCTGCAGACAGGGGTGCTCTGCTCAGCATCCAGGCCAGGCTTTCAGGAGAACTGTCCTCCCAGCCAGCTGTGGGGACCAGCTGCGGCGGCTGGGCCGGGCCAGCTGCCGCCCCACAGCCACCCTAGTTGCAGCAGGCAGGGTCTCTGGGCACCAGACTCGGACTGCCCTGCACTAAACCCGAGACTGTCGGGGCTCTCCCTGACCCAGGGGCTAGGCCAGGCTCCCGGGCCCCTGCAGGCCCCACACTGGCCCTCCTGTCCCTGGCTGGGCAACCTCGGGGTATGTCTGCTAAGCTTCGCCACCAGCTCTCTGCGAAGCCCCTTCCAGCCCACACCGGCCGCCTAGTATCCTCTCTTGCGGGAAAGGCTCCCCTCTGTCTTTCAGTTCCAGCTCAGTCCCTACACACAGAAGGACACATGGAGCGTCTCTGTCCCTACGGCGTGGGGGACATCCAGGACCTGTGGGGGTGTTCAGAGACAGAGACAGAAAACCGGGGAGCTGTGCCTATGGCCCACAGTATAGCCTTGGGTGGTTCCCGTTGCCTCTCAGCCTCAGTTTCCCCACCTCTGATACCAGGAAAAGGCTGGCTTTTCACAATCACGGTGCACTTGTGTCCCTCCTGGCTCAGGAGGCCCCTGCCCAAAGCCAGAGAGGGCAGCGCCCTGGTTTAGGGCCCCTAGGGGTTGGGGCAGGCCCTGGCTTTGGCATGGAGGCTGCAGAGAAGCTTTTGGGAACCCGCCTCAGGCAGGAGCGTGCCCTGGAAACTATCACTGTGGTGGTGCCCTAGCTTGTCCCCAGGGCCCCTGTCGCCATGCTGTAGTAGCGGCCGTGCTGGAAGGAGCAGGCCCTGGGGAGAGTCCTTCAGCCCCATGCACGCACTCGGGTACTCACTCCAACCGGTAAAGGCAGAACAACCTGGGGCTCTCTGGGGTTCAGTCCCCCCAGCCCAAACCCAAGGACTCTGTCCAAGCTGTGTGAAAAGGGCAGGGGGAGGGGCGGGGTGTCCTCAGGTTCTCGGGAATTCCCAGTAACCTCCTCTCACCGACACCATCCCTCACGTTCAGAACCAAGGACCAGAGACGACGGCTGCACACTCCAAGCACCCAGCACCACCAGGACTCAAGACGCCTGGGAGAGACCTGGTCCAGGGTTCCTTGCACTGGGAAAGGTGGAGGTTATGGCATGGAGTTTGGAGGAGCAAGGCGGAGCCGTGGCGGGGTGGGGGGGGACCCTGCTAAGAACCGGCACAAGGAGTTGATTCAGGGACCCCGGAGCTCCCGGGAAGTGAAGGGAGGTCCTGAATCCAATGGCAAGGGCTGGGGTGATACCCGGAGGGACAGGGGCACCCCTAAGGATGCACTGGCAGCCGGAGCTGGCTCAGAGACCAGGAGCCCTGAGGGCCCTGCGGGGGGCGTGCACCCGGGGCGGGGGAAGAGGGTGCTCACCCGGCGCTTGCACAGGCGCTGCACGACGCGCTCCGGCGAGGTGCCCAGCACGTGCTGGCGGGAGCGCAGCAGCGCGCACACGAAGCCGTCGCGCTGGCTGATGAAACGCGCCTCCAAATAAAAGGCGCGGTCGTCCCAGCCGAGCAGGCGGGTGCGCACCTCGAACGGCTCAAACAGGCGCAGCGAGCGGCGGTAGCGCGCGCACGAGGCGGCCAGCACCGCACGGGCCCCGAGCGCCCGCAGCGCCTCCAGGACCCCGCAGCGGGCCAGGTGCGCGGCGCGCGCCACGTCGGCCTCCCGCAAGTAGCGAGCGTTGTTCATGTGCAGCAGCAGGTCCAGGTCCGAGGGCAGCACGCGGCCCCCGTAGCGCTGCTCGGCCAGCAGGTCCCGGACGCGCGGCTGCAGCAGGCGCGCGCGCAGCACGGCGCACGGCACGCGCACCAGGTACCACCCGTCCAGCAGCGCGAAGTAGGCGAGCGCCACCAGCAGCGCCGCCATGAGCAGCCCCAGCATCGCGGCGGCGGACGCGGGGCGCGGGGCGCGGGGGGCGGCGGCGGCGGAGGCCACAGCCCTGGTGTCGGCGGCAACGGTGCCCGAGCCCAGCCTGCCAGCCTGCCGGGAACGCCGCGCCGCCGGAGCGAACCACCTCGCGCGGCCGACCGGGGGGGGAAGCGCCGGAGGCCGCAGGTGCCGCAGGCCCGCGCCCCGGGCCCCGCGCCGGCGACCCCACCCCCGCGCCCTCAGTGG